CCTTCCTCGTCCTCGTCCTCTTCCTCGCCGTCCTCGTCTGCGTCCGACCTCAAGTCCTTGCGCAGGAACGGCTCTCTCTCTGAGTGAGTATTGCTCGCTTGCACTGAGGGCAAATAGTAACTGATGAAACCATACCTACCAGAGTCTGTCATCAATCTACCCGTCCGACGTCTCCGTCTCGTGGCGAGGCGTTGACGGATATTGATACCGACGTGCAAGCGAGCTCGGTTCCCAATCAACGGCATAGAGCGCGTACAGACGGAGACGATCCGTCTTCAACAACAACAGAGTGAGCCGAGGCTTTGCTTTTTGTCCTCAGACAAGAAATTGATGCGCCTCCAGCACTGATTATGAACACGACATTCATCCACCCCGATCGACGCAACCCTCCTTTCCCCATCCGAAGGAACTCCCGCTTCCGTCTTCTCTGGAGGAAAAGCTGCCTCGCGTGAAAAGCGAGTTACGCGCCGGTCCTCCCAGGTGAGTTGGCATGCACAGTAATCGCGCCTTCCATTGTTCATGTTGATTTAGGGAACGTCCTTGGACGCCGGAGCCGTCTATAGAGGGCTCTACGACAGTCTCGTCGACAGTGCGTGATGCATTAGACGTAGAAGGCGGACATTGCCGTTCCTGCAGGGCGAAGCTTGAGGCCACGGGGCCGGAACAGTATGTGCTTTGGGTTTATCGCTGGTGGCCGAGAGTATTCATCGCCAGAGTAGAAGATCACCCTCTCCCGCGGGTCGGCGAGTACACACTGCGCCCTCGGATCTCGATACGAGTCTCGGCAAGCGAGGGTGCCCAGAATCGCACTGCGAACAGCAATACGCGCGCGTCAAGGCCGAACCATACGACGAAAACTGCGTCGTACATCGGGAATCAAACAGGGACGAAGACACAGGAGGGAATGGTCGAACGGCGTATTTCAACCGCGCAGGAGTCAAACTTGAGATCCTCAAGATCGACGTCGAAGTCGACAAGGAGGAGTACCTCAAGCATATGGAGCCCGTGAAGGGGGAACCAAAGCGATGGCGTTGCACCAGTGAGAAGGAGGGGCGCGGTCAGCGGGGTCAATGCACTTTCAAAGGTAAGAGATGTCTCGTCAAGCGCCACGTAGAGTCAATGCACCTCAAGATCAAGTGAGCGCTCTTTGCCTGTCTGCTTTTGTCGAGTATCAATGCTGACCATTGTACAGGCGCTACCAGTGTAGCTGGTGCGGAAGGTATGTCTTCCGTTGCTTGTCCCCTTCACGCAGTTGACGCTAACATCCGAGTGTAGCAGGTTCACGCAACGTAGCAACGCGGAAAACTGCCACGTCAATGTCCAGTGAGTGACTCCCCTACTGGGAGTCGTCTTCGGCTCATCACGTTCCATCTTAGCACTGGTGCGAGTCCTCACGAGTGCCGCCACTGCGATCTAAGTTTCAGTGACCTGTCAAAACTCTATAAGCACGTCTCGCGCGATCACGAGACAGACCGGTTGAAGCGTCGACGGCTCAATGTGGACCGGTGATCCTCAGTGAGTGGATCTCGACAGGACCCCGCGGTCAAGGGTCTCAGTGCTGTTTTGCTTATTGTATCCATGCTCCGCTGCTTTCACTTGCTTTCGTCTATCTCGCGTTGTGTAACTCGTACGAATGTTCTATATCATGTACTATACCCGCCATACGTCACGACGACTGATATTGCTACGGATAACCGCGCTCTACCATGTATGAAGGACGCGCAGCTGCAAGGAGCGTCATCGAGTAAACCACCATATGCAACTGCAGACCATGTACAACTGATACATATTGTCGAGCATTTCCTGCACGATACAACCATGAATGCGCATAACGCTAGTAAAGGCATCCATCTAGTGTTCACAATGCTAACCCCGCCAGTACAGCCGCCGCGCCAACGAGTACCCCACCCGCAGCCTGTCTCAGGCCGTTATTACTGCTCTTGGCCATGCCGGATTCCTGCCTCAACAGTTTGTCGTGTACATCATTGACTGCCTTGTCATCCGTGCCGACGACGAGAAGCGCTTCGTCGCCCTGCCCTGGGACAACCATGGCCGTATGAAATCCAACCCTCCATGCAAGTGGCTGTAACTGTTCCATGTCGGCAGCAGACACCGTGTAGACCGACACCGGTGCATTGCTAGAGATGCGATCGAGGCCGAAAAGAAAGTCTTCTCTCGCGCTCATACTTGCAGAACGTTTGGGAGTGAGAGACGAATGCGCCGTCGGCTGTCGAGGGAGAGGGGATGCCTTGGGTGTAGAGACGGGCCCTTCCCCGAGTCCGTCGGGACGCTGAGTGTTCGTGGGCGTGTAAAGGTCACTGAGAGGCTCGACAGCGCCATGGCTGTTCGCTGGGAGCGGTAATGTCCCGGGCATGACACGGCCTGGCTCTTGCCGATGTTTTGTGGTACCATCCACCTCCGCCGAATTATCAGCCAATACAGTAACATCTTCCACCTCTGGGCCTATATGTAGGGCACGTATAGCATCCGCTAGCAGAAGATCGAGGGCCTCCTGAGAGAGATCCGCGCGCGATGGGGTCGGGCAGCGCCCCCGCGAATGACCCTTGCGAGGCTTATGGCAGGTGAGACAATGCGGAGCCTTTCGACCGTTTGGGTGAGCCGACGACTTCTGGGTTGAAGCTCTCTGGGGAGTAGCAGGGACTCGAGCAGGCGTGGTAGGGGGCCGAGAAGCAGAACAAGTGATTGGAGCCATGACGAAGCCGGTGACAGCGGGCGGCGTTTTAAAGGGTATAGGCCGGTATATCCTTAGAGTAAGATGCACAGACTCAAGCTCGTGGTTGCGTTCAACATTCAAGTTCAATGTTCAACGTTTGACCATCCCATCACCGAAGAAGTGCCGAGGACTCTCATCCTGAAGGAGCAAGGTGCATCCAAGGGCTGTAGCGCATATCACCACCCTTCTATGGTTGATGGTAGCGCCTTAAGCTGAGAATGATTGAGATAGATCTTCCTTGGAATGCTACGCAGGCGGACTTGCATAATCACGCACGCCAGTCGCCGGAAATTCGATGTATTAGTAGAGACAGGCGCGGATGCGTTTCGGGAAGAGGATTGCAGAGCAGAATATTTGAATGTGAAATATGCAACGGCGCAACTATCAAGATAAGACGCGAAAGTATAAAATCGGGTGGGGGGTGGCGGGCGGGTATTGTTGGAACTTAAGACGATGTGCTCCGAAAGAACTGAGACTGGGCACCGTGACAACCAACGATGGCCAAACGCAGCACTTGGCGAGTATGTCGATCACGACTACACGCGATGCTGACTGTTCTGCCAGTGGCTCCACTGCCTAAAGAGTGACCCTGTAGCACCCCGACCGATTGACACTTTGTACGAGCCGTCTGTGTGGAGAGTTGCTCTCGCGTGAATTCTCTGCCTCCGTCCGGGTGCGCAATGGAATATATTGGTGTCAAGAAGACTCGTGGTGAGCAGCCTCGGACATCGAAAGTCTTCGACGACGTGTCCCTCGAATGACTGTGTATATAGTGGACGCCGCTCGTGCTCACATGATGACATGTGCATTGCCCGATAGGGCAAGAGCATGAACGCAGGCCTGGCTCAGCCTCGTCCTCGTCCTCGGTAGCACGGTTCACGTCGCTCTGCCGAGATAGACATCCCTCGACAGATATTCCTCAATCTGTGGGAGGCGCTCGAGCAGCTGCCATATCCTCGAGGGGAGCAATCGAGCATGATCCGTGTTTCACATGATGTCTAAGAGCATTTGCCCGTCGGTAAGTCTTGCGACATACTGGATTGGGGCAGCGAAAGGACTTGGCCATGAGTAGCGATGGGGCTGGACGAGATAGCGTTGAGCTCGCCCGGCAGGACTTGGGTACGCCTCTGGGTACTGAAGGCGCTGCAGTAGTGTACGGGGGAGGATCTTGCGCGCTCGTCGCGGATGGTGACAGTCCGAGATGCTGCGTTTGAAGCGCCGGTACAATGGCCGAACGATTCGACTGCTGGGATCGCGAGCAGAGGGTGTCCGTATGGGCTGATGAATGATGCGGAGTAGAAGCAGTGTCAGCCTCGACATGCGCAGCGAGCTCATGTGGTTCGCAAGGGTCCATGCTGCAACACCAACGACCTTGAGACTAGGAGCCTGGTCAAATCACAAGCAGATGACCTCGTGCATAAGACTCACAGGCTGCGCGGGCGATGAATACCCCGCGGTCGTCTCTAGGTAGACGCGCGGCCCAACAAAGGATCGCGAGACAATGAGGTTAACAACATTGTCACAAGACAGGGCAAGCCCGGTATTTCCTTCTCCATTGTCAGACGCCATGACACTATTTGCGCTGTTGTGAGAAGAGGGGGATGGGCCACAAGATATCGGGGTAGACATAGGGGCCGTGGCTGTTCGTCAAACGTTGTAAACCATGGCTAAGGGGAAAAACTGTTGTGCTTTTAGCAGTGGCAAAAGGCCTTGTTGTTGTAAAACGATGGGGCCATGGCAGTTGGCATCTGTCGTTTAACAATGGGGCCATGGCAATTGGCATCCGACGTTTAACGATGGCATGGCAATCCCATCTTTGTTTTGTTTTTTGTTGGCATGGCAGATGCCTCGGGGATGCTCGGGCCGAGCAGCCACATGCTGTGGGTCCCCGATCAATGCTCGGGGTCCTCGGGCATGCCTG